TATATATATATATATATATATATATATATATATATATATATATATATATATATATATATATATATATATATATATATATATATATATATATATGGTTATCTAATTATTCTAAAACGCAACTCCCAAATGAGTCAAGGACAACAGCGGAAAAGTTTAAAGACATCAATATATTAATCAATATTGATAGCATCAATCACGAAATACTGTAGACATCAATGAAAAAAAAACAATTTGGATAACATTAATATGGGAACATCAATAAAAAATATTCCAAGTTGACCAAATTGATGACTGCATATTCTGGAAAACGTCAAAGAAAAGAAATTGAAAATGACATTAATGGCGAAACAATGTGGCTGTCATCAATGACGTCAATACGTAAACGATATGGAGAGGAACAAGCTGTTTTTGAAGAGATAAGATTAATAATAACAATAATAAGAAGATGCAATATGCACTTCTGCCTGCCTGCTAAGCATTCATCGAAGCGTATCATGATAACATCCTCTGAAGATCTCCGAGAAGTCTATGATGATAATGACGGTGATTAATGATGACTGTGATGATGGTGATATAATGATGAAGTGATGATAATGACAATACAATGACGATGTTATAATGATAAAGATGATTGTAATAATGACAATAACGATGATAATAAAGATGATTACTATGATGATTGTGGCAGTGATTGAGATGGATATGATTAACAACTATTACAACTTGATGACGATTGATGATGAGTGAATGATTTGATAAACTTAGCGATGGAAGATAATCCGAGAATATACAACGTATCAGGAAGTCTGAATAAATGAAAGAATAAAATTTACGTTTTACTCATATAAAGTTTTGAATATTTCATCTTACAGGTTAAAGTTCTGCTACACTACACTATCATTCCTATGTTTAGTGGTTTATGCAAACATCATACATGAATACGTGCTAAAAGACACATCATAAAAAGCATCCTACAATAAACAAGTTCATAAGTTTGTTTCTTAATCAAAGTATTTGTGAGGAAAAGATTTTAAGACACACAGAAACTTCGGTATGTGGATGTTAATGGTTATGGTTATTTTTTTTTTACCAAATCACACACACAACACACACGCATACACATACACATACAGAGTATTCAAATAAGCGTGAATCACAATGCTTTTGAATGAAAGATGGGCATCTCTGCATTCAAAGACCAGGCGCCTCTAACCACTACACTATCTGGCCGTCTAATATCGATGGTTGAGAAAATTAAACATTTTAAAACAAATGCTCATTCAGTTTTTTCCATTCATTTACGCGAATCAATACTGTGATGGACAATTTCGGTGGTCTCATTAATTACTGTTCAGCGAACAATACGTCATTCAATCAAATTAATTTAAAAAAAATCTAGCACTATGATATTTTTTGGTATTTTTTTTATTTGCATAAGAAGTTGATGTTTGCACAACATTCACTTACACACATTTTATACTTCTATTTATATGGATAATGCCAACCATGGATATATCCATGATGCCAACAAATAAAAATGGCTATTTGTTCTGTGGTCTATTTTGAAAGCCATGTATTAGCTGGTACATATAATTAGAATAAATATAACGGCCTTCGCTCATTTTTGACGGTCGAGCAGGGAGCTTACTTCCGGAGGAGAATTGGAGGGTGATTTTTTATCGCCCAAGACTAAAATTACGATCGTTTATTTACTAATTTCGGAATATTGCTTTTATTTAAAATGTTTTGAAAGGTGATACTAGATGCTGTTTTAGGATAGATATTGCTGTATGACGGTTTTTGCATTTTAAATTAAAAAAATTTTTTGTGAACCACTCTTCTAACACTTGACTCGTTAACGATTAACTGTAACCGGTAAGGGTAACGTAACAACATTAACGACGACTAATTAGTAATTAAATTACTAAACTCTAATAATTAAACTAAAACTAAACTACTTAAATTAAAATAAATAACAGATAACACTAACGAACATTAACAGATTAGACTACTAGAGACTACCAACCACTACACTAACATACTACAACTACTACACTAACAGCACTTGTTCCTAAAATCCTAAATCCTATTGCTTGATTGGTTGTAAAATTTTTACTTACAATGCTTAGGCCTGGGAATAAAGAATATATTTTTTAAAATAACTAGTATTCAATGATTTTTGCTAGTTATTCAATTATGTGGATAATTTCATATAATTAGAATAATTTGTCGTGCTTGGATTGTTGGCTTACGAAATTGCATGGATTTTAACGAGCAAGCTAAATGAGATATTTACTTGATTTAATATGCTTAAAACATTGTAGTAATTCTATTTAATTTTAATAATGATTAATAGAATTATGTATTATTAAATTTTTGTTAATTTGAATATAAAAATTGCTTTTGGTCCGGTGAAATCCGGTGGCTTACTGAAGCCGAAGGTTGGCTTAGTAGGATTGAACTATAGTCACCCTTTTTTTACACTATTCGATCATGTTAAAAATTGGTTTGCTCATGAAATAAACGACCTAAACAGATCAAAATTGTTATTTGAACAACTATCTTCATTATATTCAATGAATATTTTACATTCTGCTGGTGCTCATAGAAATTATGGTTGCTGAAATCATACGTTGGCTTACTGCAGTGGCTTACTGGGTCTCATACAACAGTGTCATGGCGGTTTTCTTTACATATAATGCTTTAAATAAGTCAATATATTCATTTCACAATTATTTTTGTAAATATAAATAAAGAAATTGCTTTTGTCTGGTAAAATACAGTGGCCAAGTAAAGCCGTATGTTGGCTTAATCGGATTTTTTTTCATATATAAAATACTATGAGATCGATCAATCAATCAACCAATCAATCAACCAACCAACCATTCAATCAACTAATCAACCAACCAATCAATGAACCATATTTAAAAAATATTTGCAAGGCTTGTTCAAACTCGAACAAACACTTAACTTTACAGATCTACAAACAATTTCGAGATTTTAGTAAAGAAAGAAAAACACAATAGTTGCTTTTATTAAATCAAGAAATATCCGAAAATTATATAACCAAATTAAAAAACTAGAAACCAGTCAACATTTAATAAATAATTAAATAAATAAATAGACATTATTAAAAAGATTGTTCAAATAGGTAAAATTTAAGGCGACAACGAGAATAAAATGTAGTTTGTTTTGTTGGTGTGGGGCTATGAAGCGAAAACAAACACATCACAAAAAACTAGTAAAAAGTCGCAAGAATAGTTGTCAGTCACCTACCTACAATTAAATAACTCTCAGGGCCCTAGCTTACTTATAATCATTAACTCAACTCACCTACCTACAAATATGTTTTTCTACGTTTTTGGAATTTTACATGTTTTAGGTATTTTATTTTACATATTTCAGCGTTTTTATTTTACTTGAAACTTTTTAACTAATGTTAAGCCCTAGCCTACCTACGATTGTTCAACTCATCTCAATCCCTAACTTACCTACGAATTAAATTAAGTCTGGTAAAGAAAATAGAAAGTTGAAGAAAAACATAACAACGACACCGAATGAATGGATGTTGTGTATGTGTGTGTTTTATTGATGTGTGTGTGTGTAAATGTGCGGGCGTGTACTCTCCAAAAACTTCTTCACTCACTACGGACGAACCTCCATTGCACCGACCATCATCTGACACGCATCGATGGAATGAATTTGACCGGATACTGAAAAACACTAAATTAAAAAAAAATAATTCTTTAAAGTAAAAAACAAGCCATTGGAAAAAAAGACAACTTATCTTATCTACCTACTTCTCTGACTACTTCTCCATCACTTGCGAAGTTCAGAGCGGATCTCAAGACCCATCTGTTTTCAAAATTCATTGAGGAGCGCTGTTGAACATCGCGGAAATAGCGCTTTATAAGCTAATTGATTGATTGATTGATTGAGATGACAAATTCGAGTACTTTCAATGGTACGATGGGACAAGAACAATGAGACAAGAACAAATTTCTTTTAATATTATTTTCAAATTGTCATCGGAACGATCATCATGAGACCACCATCTGAAACATGCTGACGCCCACCACAGCCCACCTCTCATCATTCTGTAAAAAGATATTTTTATTAGCTTAGTAGTAAATCAAGGAACAAAGGAACGAACGAATAAATGATGAATTGAATGATTTAACGAATTAATAGAATGAATCAATTAGTGGAGGAATAATTTGAAAGATAGTGATAAAATGAATGAGAAAATTTAAAAAAAAACTAAGCCATACTTCAAAAATCGTCGTTGTTGTTTCCTTCAAATTGTCATCGGAACGATCATCATGAGATCCATCATGTGAAACGTGCTGACGCCCACCACAGCCCACCTCTCATCATTCTGTAAAAAGTTATTTTTATTAGCTTAGTAGTAAATCAAAGAACAAAGGAACAAACGAATAAATGATGAACTGAATGATTAAATAATTAGTTAAAAGAATGAATGAATGAATGAATGAATGAATGAATGAATGAATGAATAGAACGAATTAACGTCAATTAATGGAAGAATAATTTGAAAGATTGAGGAAAAAAATGAATGAATGAGAAAAATAAAAAAAACGAAACTAAACCTTACTTCAAAAATCGTCGTTACTTCAATCCATTGCACCGACCGCACCGACCACCACATTCAGATCGGCACACAAGATTTCATCCGAACTTCTGAGCGTCAGTCGAACAGCCAACGCGCTGATTCTTCCTACACCACACCATCATACGTAAATCATCATGAGACCACCATCTGAAACGTGCTGACTCCCACCACTGCCCACCTCTCATCATTCTGTAGACAATTTTTTTATTAGCGTAGTAGTAAATGAATGTTAGAATCTTAGAAGCAAAAAATTATAAAATGGAAATAATGGCAAATAAATAATAACTGAAAATAATAAAGAGATTAAAATGTAAAAAAAAAAACTTACCGTCGTCCATTCGACAAAGGCAGAATGTTGAATGCTTTCCGGTTCCTACGTTGTCCTCCAAAACTGGTGCCAGTCCTCCTCGAGATTGTTGTTGAAACACAGCCCGTGGAATGGAGAAAGAGAAAATTCTCATCAGAAAGCTTAGCGGTGCCTGCATCTCAAATTGCTTAATAAAAATAATCCCATCTACCTATTCAATTACTTAACTAATCTATATTAAATTGTTAATGGTACGATAGTCGAGAGTCCCCCTTCATTCTCCCTCCTTTGCACAGAGGTTCACCGACAGCCAGGGCACCGGAAAGTAAACCATTGCCGTGCGGATAGTAGACTATTGCTGTGCGGATAGTAAACCATTTGCCGTCCGGAAGCCGTGCGGGTAGTAGACTATGGCCATGCCGCATAGTAAATCATTACCGTGCAGATAGTAAACCATTGCCGTCCGGATAGTAAACCATTGCCGGTTCACCACTGGCCACCAAGGCTTACCTCTGACAACGGACTTTGAAATTCAGAGTCTATCGGCTATCGTACCCTCAGCTTACCTATTCATTACAATTAAGCCCTAGCTTACCTAAAATTACAAAACTCAAGAGCCCAATTCATTGGCCTTTCGGTACCCACCCCACCACCTACGTAATGCCTTGGGCTGCAACTTAGTAATAATAATATAAAACTTAAATCCTAAATCTATTAATGAGTATGTGTTACAGCGTAGCCTTAACTTACCTATTCATTACATTATGGCCTTAACTTACCTAAAATTAAAAAAACTTAAGAGCCCAATTCATTGGCCTTTCGGCACCCACCCCACCACCTACGTAATGCCTTGGGTTCCGACATAATAATAATAATATAAAACTTATAATTAACCTACCTATCGATACACATACAGCGTTTTAATTTACATTACAAGATTGTTCCTAGAATTACATTATTGCCCTTAACTACCTATGAAATTAAATTACTCTCAACCTTAGTAATAATAAATTAGAATGTGTATTGAAAATAAAATTACGCTCAAATATACATACCACCACATTCAATCAATAAAAATCCCACTAAAACCAGAAACCACCGCGTACCTGTTATATGTATGATGTGAACAAATAAAAAAAACAAAGCAAAAAACACACCACCAAGTAGAGTAAAAGAATAGAAGTCCCTAACCTACCTATGTAACTAAATTACCTTAGGCCCTAGCCTACCTATATAATAAATTAATTTTTACCTCACCTACCTATGTTTCATTAACTTAACTTAAGACTCATGAAGAAAGAGAAAAAGGAGTAAAACAGAACATAAAATACTACCACACAAACAAACATGATGTATGTATGTATGAGCAACCGCTAAAACCCACCTAAAATATAAAAAAATACAACATACAATCACACAAACCACAGGCATGCAAACTCTATATAACTCTATATAATAAAATAAATAAAAATAAAAAGATAAAATAAATGAGATCAGGCAGACTGCTTCATGCGAGGCAGAATGCCTGACCTGATTTTCACGTTTTCTCAGCTCCTATTTATACTCGTTTCAACCATACACTTTCACCATTTCAATCATTCACATCAGTAAAAAACTTATTTAATGTATGTACTACAGTATTATACAGTCTTAACCACAATGCCAACAGTACTAAATTGACGTCATCGAACGAACGTCTTCGAAATTTTCTGATTGGCTGGTTGAATCTGCTATATTGCTTTTTATATAAAACATATAATCTAATAATTATTTGTATACATGGATTCTAGTTACTTTATACATATACATATATAAATTCATTATAATTGCAACAGTAATCAATGCTACATATGTACGCCGCAGTTCAAAATTTTCGGAGAGAATTAAAAATAGTTTGAGATCACACCTTGCTTAACATCCGATTCCAAGCCTAGCCGAGCTAAGCTGAGCCATTATGCATAGATTTATAAGCGCTTTTATAATAAAATTATGCTCGCTTTATATATATAGTATATAAATTCCTTATAAACGCAACAGTCGTAATCAGTGCTACATATGTGCGCAAATTTTTCTGTGAGAATTCCAAATAGTTTAAGACCACACCTTGCTTAACATCCAATTCCAAGCCGAGTCGAGCCAAGCTGAGCCAATATGCATAGAGTTATAAGCGCTTTTATATTAAAATTTTGCTCGCTTTATATAGACTATATAATATATAAATTCATAATAAACGCAACAGTAATCAGTGCTACATATGTGCGCACGCAGTTCAAACTTTTCTGCAAGAATTCCAAATAGTTTGAGACCACACCTTGCTTAACATCCAATTCCAAGCTAGCCGAGCCAAGCTGAGCTAATATGCATAGATTTATAAGCGCTTTTATATTAAAATTTTGCTCGCTTTGTATATATAGTATATAAATTCATTATAAACGCAACAGTAATCAGTGCTACATATGTGCGCACGCAGTTCAAATTTATAATTTATTATAAATGTTATTTGATGTTTTTTAATTAGTCAGGTCACAATCATCATCATCATCGATATCGCAATGAAATCAAATTGAGAATGTTTTATATTAAAAAAAAGTATTTTTATTTATTTTATGATACTATTTTGTTCAATAAGATACTGTTTGATACATATAACTAGAATAAATATAACGGCCTTCGTTCACTTTCAACGGTTGAACAAGGAGCTTACTTCTGGAGGGGAGATGGAGGGTGAGGTTCGAGTCAAAAGTTACGATAGTGTATTTACTAATTACGGAATATTTCTTTTATTTAAAATGTTAAAATTTTATTTTTTTAAATTGTTATTCAATATGGTAATTAATTACTTTTATTTGGTATAAATTTAAACAAATAAAATCGACATTACCGAAAATAATTAAAAGTTGCAAAAATTGAGATTCTTTGCATATCCCTGCTTCAACCAATAAGAAAGTGTTGTTTAATGGTAAATAGCTGGTATTTCCAGTTTTCTTTGTGCTTTTTTGGTTTTTCTTTGAGTTATCGGCGCAAATCTATTTGTGATCACCTCATTTTGTCAGTTTTTACTTATTCTTCTGTTTATAATTTAGAATAAAATAAACATTTTTAATACGAACGAAATTTTCTATATTTTCAGATTATAAAATTAATAATCTCCGCAATTATAATATATTATAATTATATATATATAGCGAGCCATATAACGTATAACCACCATCAGCCAAATCATCACACCACAATATTTCTATAAGTATAATATAATATAATATTATATTATAAATAAATTCTCATATATTGGATCATCATATTGTGCCTAAGTGCGAAATAGAATTTAGATATTAATATTCTGCTTGCAATCATAGACATAATCTGTCATAATCCATAATGAAAAGTTGAAAACAAATTTGAAAATCTAGGTTTATACTAGTTTTATAATTTATACCGACCGATCCTAGTTATATAGTTATAAGCTTATAAATATTAATAATATGGGGACCAAGAAAAGTGACATTGTTTAAAATTTCATTGTGAAACTGGATGCAATACATTATACTATAATAATATAATATATATATATATTATATTACATGGATAAGTGTTTTTATTTTATTATCAACGTTAGTAACCATGGTGATGGTTATGTTATAGTGATGATGATGATGGTGGCTATGATGATGATGCCAGTAATCATAATAAGGATTATATTGTCGCTTAGAGCTTGTTAGGCAGAAATTTTTTCAAATGATTTTTTTAACTATCACCTTGTTTTTGTACCTTGCTGTTCAATCCTATCTTTTTGGTCATGTGTAATGCCTAAACTGATTAAGTGGTGCTTAAATTATTAATTATATTTATTATTAATTCACCAGACATCAGCTGAACTGAGTTAATTGTTAGTTTGTTTAGAAAAATCAATTTTGTCAGCTAGTCATTAAAACTGAAAGACTTTACAAATGTACAGAAGATGTGTAATTTCTTCTTTTAAACAGAACTTGTATGAATATATACTGTGGTTGTTTGTGATAATAACAGTGTTTAACTGTATATTTATGACTTTAATGTTTAACTTCGATAGGACAGATATGACAGATAAGACACATATTCCAAAAATGCCAAGCACCATCAAATTACATTAATGTCTGCAATTTAATTTCATTAACAGCATAATTTACTTATTTATTACAGGTGTTAGCTCCAGATCATGATATTTTTATCAAAGTGTCGAAAGATTGAAAAAGATTTATGATATGAGTTCTTTGCAGTCAAATTTCAACAGCTTGCAGCCTATCAACTCAAGTATTCAATTTGTTTCTCCGAATCCATCATACACGTGTGAAAGTTGTAAGGGATACTTGGTCGATCCATACCAACTAATCTGCGGTCATCGGATTTGCTCCAATTGTAAAGTTAATTTTCAGAGTAAAGTTTTTGATTGTCCATCTGGTGATGAGACATGTGAGAAAATTTCTTATGATAAGGTTGCTTCTGTTGGGGTTGTTCACAACAAACTTTTGAAAAATATGTTGACTTCATTGTTTATAACATTCAGTTCTTTTATGTTTAATAATACTTATAGGAAATTTATTAATGAAGTAAACTGCACTAGAATAAATAGGGTCACAAATGTAGATAAGCTGGACTTGTGGAACTTTGGTGTCATGTTAAGGAAGTGTAAGATGGCTGGGTTTTTTGTGGGGTACATTCATAAACTGTAAGTGTGTTACTAGACATTAGATTGCACACATTGTCCGTCTTATTTTTAACACATTCAAAGGTGGAAACAAGGGAAAAATAATCTAGAAGATGGCGTGAATTCAACATAATGATGCATTAGTTTGGCTTTGCTATTGTAAATATGGTCCATTATATGATGGTGTGTGAAGAATTTGATAGTATATGGGAGAGGTTCATCTGTTTAGTAGCACAGTTCCATCAATGTCCAAAGTGACTAAATACACGGACAAACACGAATGTTTATTCTATTTTTGTATTATACCTTTATTATATTACCACATATTGTATTATGACTTATTATATTATCATATATTATCACATTTATTTGTTATTCTTATCACCTGATAAGTTCTGGTTAAAATAAATTAATGTAAATTGTATTTCAAGTTGTGTATTGTATCAACAGATATATCCTGACAACTCACTAAGGCGAGAACTCAAAGATTACGAAGTTTACTGTACTAATAAGTCACTAGGCTGTCCTGCCACTTGCAAGTTGCATCATCTAAAGGTCTGTTTAAATGATAACATTTCAATTTCTTGATTACATTCACGATAACGCTTTAACCGTTTATCTAAGGTTAGAGTTGGGACAGGATTGATAACTGTGTATATGTATTTATATCCGTGTGTGTGTGTGTGCGTGCGTGCGTGCGCATTCAAAATTTATAATTTGCAATTATAGTTTTCATCATATTTTGATGCAAATAGAAAATTGGGAGAGTCTGAAAATATGATTCAATATTTTGTAGGTTGAATTTAATAACATTAAACTCTTGATAGCTGTTTCAGATGTTTTGACAGTTATCCTTTATTAGAATAAAAATAAATTGCTTCTAATTTTGTCATTAAATTTAAAATGATAATTGCCATTTTAACAGTAGTTTATGATATTATTAATCGTTTTTGACTGCCTGCAATTTTATTTTCTAATAATTTGCAAACTATTTTAAAAATTTCATTTTCAAAATTTGAAAACCAATTGAATGATTTTTTCAAAATTAAATTAAAGAAACATTTAGATGAGGAATGTTTATATGTAAAAGTCAACTGTCCTCATGACTGCTACCTTACTGACGTTTTCAGATATGAGGTTTTTTCTCTTTTCTTTCAATCAGTAACTCGGTTATTCGTCGCAATCTTTCTTACGTTGATCACTATGTTTGCAATTCACCAGTTGAACGATCATTTAGAAAAATGTCCAATGAAACCCGTCAGGTGTCAGTTCCAAGAGATCGGCTGTGATTACATGGTCGGTCAATTCACACTTTTTCGTTCTTATTGTAATTTTCATTATTGTTTGTTTTTATTATTTCCTATTAAGATAAGGATATTCAACGTCATGATTAAATATTAAATAATAATAATGCGTCAACTCATAAATCGCCAGTTGCGAAAGCACTTCATAGACGCTTAGAAAAGTGATAACATGTCCATTGAAAAAAAGTTACAAATGATAGAATCGTGTGATTTCTACACTGCCGTGTGCAGAAATTAGACAACAATAAAAACAGTCAAAGTTAGATTGGGAGCGTTTGAAGTGGAGTACTACAGATAGTTGCTGTGAATCAGCTGAAGCATGGAGACCATAAGAAACCAGCTTGGAAAACAAAAAAGTATAGAAGAGAAAATCAAAATTTGAAAACAAGGACTCTGAACATTTTAAAAATGTCAGATAACAAGCTTTTTTAACTGTAATTATGAGAAAGAGGAAAGTTGGAAGACCTGCTGAGAACAAGGGCGGATCCAGGAAGTTTGACGGGGGGGGCGAAAATTTTTAAATAAATATTTTGTAATGTTGAATATATCCATTTTTGATTATAAATTTTAGAATGTAAATTAATTGAATAATATAATGTTTTATGTTTACTTTGATTTATTTATAATTTTTATTACAAATGATCAAAGGAAAATTATGAACGCACCCACGCGGCAAAATACACTTGAAAATTTTTTGAACGCTTCTTCCGTCTGATTTTCATTTTAAAAATTCAAATTTGAGTTGCGCTAGTAATAGTACTGTATAAGTATCATAATTCATAATCATATTTTCAGTTTTTTTTAGAAGATTAATTTAAATATATATGGATCGTTTTGTGAAGCGAACTAAAAGGGCACATCCACCAGGTTAGATCACCATACGATATGAATTTGTTCGCCAGTAGCATAGAAATTGTTAAATAAGTGTTCAGAGTTAAGTTAAATTTAGTTTATTTTTTTAGAACTACATGAAGGCGATAGTTCCGATAATCATAATGAAAAAGTGATTGTTAAAAATGATGAATCATTTGAGCAAGTAGCTTTGCACGATAATGACGAAGATAACAAGATAAAGAATAATGAAAAAGTCTATCAACAAATGGATTTTGTACATAATAATGATATTGGACTGTATGTGGGCAGCAGTAATAAAACAATTAATGATGATATAAAATTTGAACTTCTACAAAATCCATGGAAACCAGAATTTGGCTACAAATTTCCGTATTCAAATCATATTAAAAATGGTAAAAATGAAAAACGGTACATTTTGAAAAGTCACTGGAAACATTTAATGCATGGGGGGATCCTCAGA